CTCCGTGAATGTACCTTTGAACATGTTTGGAATACGTGCCAGGAGGGCAGGCACCTAATTCCTTACTGCCTACACAATGCCTGGCACATAATAGATGCTCAATAAATAGTTTCTGAATCACCATAAATGAATGGCTGCAATGCGAAAGCAGGCTGGAGGAGTGATGACACCGAGAGAGAACAACAACAACAACAACAAAACCCTCTTTTTTCTGAAAGCATACCTCGATCAAACACGCACAACACACTCGCTGAATGCTTAAAATCCTCTGATGGCTCCCCAATGCCCCCAAGATAAAGTCCAAACTCCTCAAAACTTGCAAGGAGATACGAGGAAAGTCTTTCAGAAGGGGCACCTCTTATTTCTCAAATATCATTTAGCTAGACCACTTCCACTGTTCAGAATATGTCTCTAGCCAGCCTGTGAAATGCCAGCAAACTCCCAGGAAGCCTGCACTCTGCCCCCAGGCTTTGCACACACTGCTCTCTCTGCCTAGATTCTAGAACACTGTGCCCTCACCAGCCTCATCTTCCCACCAGGACAAAGGCAGACTTCTATCTCATTTTGGAAGTCATCTCCTTATGGAATCTCTCTCTCTTTGGCCATCCAACCCAACCTCATCTCCCGAAATCGGGGTTAAGGGCCTTCTCTGTGTGTTCATAGTCCCCTGTATGCCCAAGATCATAGCACGAATCACAAGAAATTCCTCTTTATGCCATAAAACCTCGGCATTCCCTGAGGACAAGACGTCTCACTCTTCTACCTGTGGCAATCGGCCCAGGCTCTGGCACACCAACGTCCCCCATGTTGGACATCCTTGTTGGGACAAGTCCACCTCCGGGATATTGCAAATTGGGTTCTAGACCACAGCAATAAAACAAGTATTGCAACAAAGCCAGTTGTAATATTTTTGCTGGTGGAGGGTCTCCCTTTTAGTAATTTGTAAAAAGTGCAACACCTGCGGAGTGCAATAAAGCTGGGCGCAATTAAACGAGATATACCTGTAGTAGTAATAATAAAAGCTCCCAAGTATTGAGGACTTATCTGCAAGTTTTAAATATACATGGACTTTCTAATAACCTTGTAAGACGAGTGCTATCATCATCCCCATTTCGCAGATGGGAAAACTGATACACAAAGTCAACCTGCGGCCCCAGAAGAATCATATAGACAAACGACATTTCCTGCAGTTTTGAGTTATACTCCGGCCCCTAAATAAGGGCTTTGCCGTTGTTAAAGGAACTTTCGGGACCAGGGCCCCCAAATATAATGAACAGCCCAACGCGCACTCCAAGCCAGAGCCTAGCAGGGTTAAAGGGCACGTGGGGACGCCGCCCCGGCGCGGGTACCGGCAAAAGGGTCCCCCCGCCGCCCAGCCCCTCGCCCGCTTCAAGGAATTGACACCGGGGTGCCGTGTTTGGCCGCGAATGCCCAGTCCGCCCCAGCTCACCTGCCGTCCCGCCGCCCGCCGCCTCGCCGAGCCTGGCCGCCGGTCCCGCAGCGCCTCCCCCGGGCTGCTGGGCGTCCGCAGCGCGCGCCGAGCCCGTTGCCTTGGCGACCGGAGCGGCTGAACTCCCTCGGCTGCCGCTACGGCGGCTCGGAGGGGACCAGGAGGGTTCGCCGGTCTCTCCGCGGCCCCGGAGCGGGCGGCGGAGGTGGAGGCGGAGGGAAAGGGGCTGGGGGTCGGCACGCAGTGTGAGACCCGCGCGGGCTTGGCGTCCTGGAACTTGGCCCCGAGGACAGGGAGAGGAAGGGAATGATGGAGAAAAGGGGACTACAAGGCCGGGGGAGGACTTGAGCTCGGGCCCTACCTGTGCCTCGATTTCTCTCTCTCTAACGTGTGAGAGAGACCATTCGGGGAGAGGACGGGGCGGCGGGAGCCCGCTAGACTGGGAGTATTTAAAGACATGAAAACTGTCGTGGGAGGGGTGGCAGATGCCTCTTTCTTTAATCTCCGGAGCGGTGGTGTGGCAAAGAATAAATAACTTGCTTCTTTGGGCTCAGGGCGACAATTAGATCACCACATTTCATTTCAATATGGGAAATAATTTACTTTGTGACCAGAAATTGTGCTTCTTGAAATAATCCGACAGATAACACTGGAAATTGTGCTTCTTGAAATAATCCGACAGATAACACTGGAACACGAGCCTAAAGGGTATTCATTGCTCCGTTGTTTGTAAAAGCGAAACGATTAAGACCAGTCCAAATGTCCATTAGGGGATTGAGTAAATAAATTATGGTGCTTGCATACAATGGGTTAAGAACTAAGAGAGACATAGATCAATTTAGTCGTAGACCTGTAAAAGGGGGGCGATAGATGCGTATATGAATTCTGGAAAGAGATCTGGGAAGTATGGGGTTTTAAAATAATGCATTTTCACTTTTTTAATGCAGTATTTAAAAAAGCCAAGTACATGCATTATCTTTTCAAACAATTTATAGGAGTGTAAGGGATCACAATATGCCACCTCAAAATATGCCACTTTGTAAGGATAGTTTTGAGTTGCAGGCAATTGAGAAGTAGACACATGGACTCTGCTCTCCCCCTGTAAATTTCCCTTTGTTTAGGTGTTCCCCGCCCCCTCTCTCCCCCCAGGATAATCACAGGAGCCAACCCTAGACTCTTTTCAGTGAGAGGAAACCCACAGAACAAATCTTGCTACAACAATATTTTTTTAAACAACATTAATTTCTGCCTTGTATTTACCTTTCCACAGCCTGCCCCCCAAAAACCCTAAACCCCTTCCCATTGTCTTAGCACTTCTCTACAAATTTAAAATTTACCAGCCTTGGTCAACTGGTATAAAAGGCTCCGGCTCTAGCCAGCCCAGTCACTGAACCTAAGAGATTAGAAGAAAAATTTTCCTCCCTACAGGGGAAAAAAGGAAAAATAATAAACCACCCAGTTTTGACAATCAACTGTGAATACGGGAGGGGCTGCTCTAGGTGGCAGTGGGCCCCTACCCCAGAAGAGATGGTGCCAAGGGGTTCTTGGAATAGGTGGAAAACTGGAGTACAGGATCTCAAAGATAAGCTTTCCCCTAACTGTGCCAGCTAGAGGAGGCACATGTAAACACTTAGCATTAAACCCAGAGATCAGCAGGATCCCACATTCGGGAGGACTAATGCTTGCAGGTCAGAAAATGAAAAACTCCTCAGCAGCTGGCTTGACCCTATGTTCCTCACTGAACATAAACAGTGCGCAGAAATGTAAACAAGTGGTAGACAAGGCCACTCTGCAGTTGGAACAAAGAAGAGACTCGTGATCCAACTCTTGTGACTTAACAGGAGTGGGTTCTGCTTCTTTTTCAGTTCTGGCCCTGCTTTATTTAATCTTTCTACCTCCCGGATAAAAATTAAGATAACTAAACATCAATTTGTTGCTGCTTCTTGACTGTGTCCAATTCAAGACAATTCCCCACTTCCCTACCCTATCCTTGGAGATACACAGCACAAACCCAAATCCTAATAATAAGCTCCTTCCAAGTCCTTCTTACCAAGATGAGTTCTCCCTTAGCAAACAAGCTAAATAAATCTTTTTGATTACAGGGCTTTAAGAGCTACCTGGAAGGTTCAGTGGTCCTGAAGCAACCTGACTTGGGCAGGCATTTGGGGGTAGGGGGTAGGTATGCTGAGGCAGGAATTAGAAAAGCTTGAGTAATTCTCCTTCCTTTGCCATTAACCCTTTCTGTGGCGTTGGGCAAACCATTTAACACTGAGTCTTCTTTTTTTAAAGGTTTTATTTATTTTTAGATGGAGGGGAAGGAAAGGAGAAAGAGAGAAACATTAATGTGAGAGAGAAACATCCATCGGTTGTCTCTTGCTCAGGCCTCTACCAGGACAAACTCACAACCCAGGCAGGTGCCCTGACCAGAGTCCAACCGGTGACCTTTCACTCTGCAGAGGATGCCCAACCAGTTGAGCCACACCAGGCAGGGCAAAGTTTTTCCCATTTCCATAAAAGAAGGGATCCAAGTATATTTCTAAGGCTTCTTCCAACCTAAATATCATAGGATTCCAAACTGCACAGGTTCTTACATTCTCGGGTACACTAGTCATTTGTACGACCTCCCCGCCGTTGTCGTATCTACATACCCCCTATACTGTGTGTATTTAAATAAATCATTTTCTGTTTTTTCTCCCTTTGAATAGACTTAAAAAAGACTCAATTGTTACTTACATCTACAAAGTAAAATTTACCTCACTGCTTAAGTGGAAAACCAGCATTATGTGGTAGAAATGGAAGAATTTTTTGCACACACAAACCCTAAGACAAAATAGTGTTATTTAACTGTAGCTGTGGTTACCTTTGGAGAGATTTGGAAAGTAAAGCCTTCATTCTATTAAAAAGAGAGAAAAGCAAATGTTACAAAAATGTTAAATACACACTAGTCTCAAAACTTCTTTCAGTTTGCAACAGGACTTTTTCACTGTGCCTTTCAATGTTATTTAATGTCATGTTTGTTTCGTTTACCCTAAATCATATACGGAGCCCACATTTTAGGAGACAATGCCTATTTTCCCCTGATTAACTTGACTCATCTGTCAGTTTTCAGATTATCTATAAATTCGTCGAAACAGCCTTCCGGGATCCCCCCCCCCCCGCCCCCCAGTTAAATTGCTTTCCTCTTACATAGTGGGCATTAAACTTTTATGGAAAGAGTATTCCCTTACGCTACTTCATAGTACTTATCACAGTATGTCATGGTGCACTTATGTGCATTGTCGGTCTCTTTTTAACTAGGCCATAAATTCTTGTACACTGCTGTACCCCAGATCTTGACACATAATGGGCTCCCAATGAATTCAAACGAGGTAAAGAAATAAAGCCTTCCCAACTCCTGCCCTACCGGCCGGCAAAGCCCCGCCTTCTCCCCCCAGCTCCCGGCGGTTTAGCTCCGCCTCCTCCCTTGGCGGGGGCGGGTGGGAGTTAGCTCCGCCTTCTTCCTCTACCAATGAAAGGGGTTTCTGTTCAGCGGCCGCGGGCGATGGGCGGGGCCACGCACTGATGCAAGCAGCACGTTTCCGGCCTGAGTAACCGCCGCGTATTTGGGGAGGCACTTCTACCGGCAGTTCCCACCGCACTAGAAGCCTCCTAAACCGCCACCTCTGTCACCAGCGCCACCATGGGAGCTGTGCTGGGCGTTTTCTCCCTGGCCAGCTGGGTGAGTTTCGGGCCTGATGTCTCCGTTGGACCTGTGGTTTGGCCGGGGGGTGGCGATAGTGAGTCCCAAGACCGGACCCGATCGGGCCTCGGCTGCAGGGGATCGGGGTGGGAGGGACGGGCCCTGGGCTGTAGAGAGAATCCACTGGCCCAGGCCAAAATCCGAATGCCCCGCCACCGGGATCAGGGGGCTCACTTTCCGGGTTTGGTGAGGAACGTAGGAGGCCAGGCGGCCATTGTTTACAATTTCTGTTGCCCCGCCCCCGCGAGCCTTCCGGCATCTAGGTTACCCCAGAGCTGGAATAGAGCCAAGGAGTGAGCTCCCACGGCGGGAGCTCTCTGGTTCGTTTCGAAGCACCTTCTGAAGGTGGCGCCATTTAGTTTGGGTGGCTTATAATATTTTTAGCCGTAGCACGGGATTTGTCGACGCTACTGAATATGTGGCAGAGCTGTGATTTTAACCGAGGCCTGTCTGCAGCTTTGGTGCGAGGGGAAGAAGGCCTTGTTGATTGTGATTCAGAGTTGGAAGCCATGGTCTGAACTTGGGGACCTTGTACAAGTCATTTGTCTCTGCCTGTAAGACAAGGGTTATCATCACCCCAGCATTCCTCACTTGGAGAGCTGTTGTGGGGTAAAGTGAATAAATAGGTTGAATCACTTTGTCGATTGTACATTCCATATTTTAGAGAGAAGTTTTAGGATTTATGGAATAGAGTATCCTGCGTTCCCTCAGATACTCACTTCAGAGGAACATGGTTTCTCGAAATCACTTCCTTGTTTCCTAATTCCCCAACTGGTTTAATTGCCAGAGGACTCAGATCTCAGCTATTCCATTACCATTGCTGAGGGACACAGTGTGTTTTCCAATCTTCAAGGTTGTTGATTTTAAATCAAAAGTACCAGTTCCTTGAGAGCAGCGGCTTTCCCAGTTTTTTGACCTTGACCCAAAGTAAGAAATAATTTTTACATAGTTAATACCTCCATTTAGACACAAGTTTCATGATACGATTCTCAGCTTTACCATCTGCTGTCCAATTTTTCTACCACATTAAAAAATCCTGGTCGGTAGATTTTTACAGTCCACTAGTGGATCAAACTCAGTATTTAAAACATAGATGTAGAAATGTAGACCTAAGACAGTCATTACTCTGGCTGGGTAGCTTAGCTGTTTAGGGTGTTACCCAGACTTCCAAGTTTGGGGTTCGATCCCCCGTGAGGGCACATACACTAATCAGCCAATGAATGCATAAATAAGTGGAACAAGTAGATGTTTCTCTCTTTCTCTCTCCTTCCCCCCCCCCAAATCAATTAAGAAAAAAAAACAAGATTGTTAACTAAGGGGTGAATTGGAGATTTGAAAGAAAGATGCCCTTCCTAACCTGAAACACATTCTGGCTTTGATGTAAAGCTAAACTTTGAATTTATGCCATCAAAGCATTTCTATCTATAAGTGATTTTTCTATTTTATGAATCCCTTTTGTTTAATAGGAACAGCGAGGAGTTCAGGGTAGCAGAGAATGGAACAAATGAGGGGAAGGGTAGCAGGAAAGGAAGTCGGAAAGCAGCAGGGAGCCAAAGCACGCGGATACCCACTGCCCGGTCTTGTGGGCCAGTTTAAGGACTTGGGCTTTTCCTCCTAGGTGATACGGGGATCCGGAAAGGGGAACGATCTGATCTGGTGGTGTTTCAGCAAGGTTGCTGTGTGCAGAATAGATGGTAGAAAAGAATGGGCAAAGCAGTGAGGGGGAGGGAAACCGTCCACTCTCTGTTGGCGTTAGGGGCCTGTGAGTTAAACTGACGGAAGATAATCAAGAGAGAAGAGTTTGTGTATGAGTGCAACACACACACACAGGAGTGCTCGGTGACAAGCAGCTCAAAGGGGTGGTTAGCATATAAAGCTTATATTCCTAACTTAACAGGGGAAATGAGGTGGGAGAAAAGGGCAGAACGAAAATGATATTACAAAACTGTTGAATAAAGAAGTAATCAAAACAATGAAGGAAAAGGTATAGAAGTTAATTAATATTAGTGCTACATTACTTAAAAAGTTCTTCCTATGGGAAGAACAGATAAGTTTCTTTAGTAAAGACAAATGGGTTTTTAGGAGAACAAACAGGAGATAAGAATGTAATGATAACTTGTTTGTGTAGATGCAGAGGTCTCTTTGTCTTCGTGGCCATAAAACTCTTTTGGAGAGATAACTTACGGCCAGCCTCACACCCCCAAAGTTGCTGCTTGCGGAGGACAGCTCTCAGAAGGTTTTTTTCTTTATCTGTTCTGAATCTCAGGAGTTTTCATCTTAAAATACTCTATACTAGCTCTGGGTTCTGAATGGGTCACTACAGCAGTGAGATAGGAGCTGTTGCATTAATCCAGGTAAGAGATGCTATTAGTGGCTTAGACTAACGTGATAGCTAAGGATGCTGAGAAAGGGGTCAGATCCTGGGTATATTCTGAGCATAGAGCTAATGTGCTGACAGATTGGATGAGGGTTTTGGAAAAAGAGAAGGCATCAAGGGTGACTCCAAGGTTCCTGGACTGAGTAACGAGAAGAATAGGGGTCATTTAGAGATACGGAAGTGACGTAACATGTAGTAGGACAGGTTTGTTCCACAGATCAAGTACCTTTACACAGTAGGTACTTGATTCATTTTTATGGCTGAATAATATTCCATTGTGTAGATATATCACATTTTACTCACCCATTCATCAGTTGATAAGACATTGGGTGGTTCTGCCTTTTGCCAGTTGTGAATAGTGTTGTTTGAACATTTAGGTACAAGCTTTTCTTTGAATACCTGTTTCACCTGTTTTGGGTGCATGTTTAGGAGTGGAATTACTGGGTCATATGGTAATTCAATGTTTAACTTTTTGAGGAGTCTCCAGGTTACCATTGCTCTTGCTGTCATGTAATGCTGCTTTCTGCTATAACATCAGACTTGGTAACTAAGGTTCTCAGTAAATAACAAGGCAGTTAGGTTTTGTTTTTTTGTGTTTTTTTTTCAATATTAAGATTTATTGTTTTTATTATTTTTATGTGAATATTTATCTAGAAGGATAAAAGAAATCACTCAAAAATACGAATTTTGAATGATTGACAAATGCCAAAACATACAGAAACTTTTTAAGTAATGTAGCACTAATATTAATTAACTTCTATACCTTTTCCTTCATTGTTTTGATTACTTCTTTATTCAACAGTTTTGTAATATCATTTTCGTTGGAGTAAAGGGAAAGCAGTCTTCTCTCTAGCCTGCTTGATTGAGATTTTTAAAAATTATGAGTAGTAAATAATAGTCCATTACTGATGGTTTCTTTCCACTTAACAACTCACCATTGGCAATGCCTTGTAAAACTTTAGGATTGTTAGCAGAACTGGGAAAAACCCTGATTTGGTTACTATGGCTATGTAACAGACCACCCAAACTTAATGACAGGAAACAGCAACTGCTCATAGCTTCTGTGGGTCAGAAACTCAGGAAGGGCACCGGCTGGGGTAGCTCAGCAGCTGGGCTGGAATCATCTGAGGGCTCATATTCAGCTCAGGTCCGGACCTGGGCTGGGGGGTACTCGGAGAAGCGGATCACCAGCTTGGGCGCTGCCTCGTGGCCTCTGCATGTGGATGGGCTCCCTCAAAGCACGGGGACCTCAGGGGACTTGGGTGTGTCACGTGGTGGCTCTCAGCAGGAGAAACCGCAGTACCTTTTATGACCTAAACTCAGAGTCAGGCAGTGCCAAGTTTCTCACATCCTGTTGAGGATTGTTGTTTGTTTGTTTGTTTCTTTTCTAAAGATTTATTTCTTTTTAGAGAGAGGAGGTGAGAAAGAGAGGGAAAGAAATTCTCATGAATGTGTGGTTGCCTCTCATGCGCCCCCAACTGGGGACCTAGCCAGCAACCCAGGCATGTGCCCTGAACTGGGAATCGAACCGGTGACCCTTTGGTTTGCAGGCTCACGCTCAATCCACTAAGCTATACCCTCCAGGGCTCGATACATTGTTTTTAAATTCAACACGACCCCTGTATGAATGAACGTAAGTAAAATCTTATTGGGCTTTTAATGTTTTCGGTACTGCGTTGAGTGGTTATGTAATACAGTAGTGTCTGAGGGAGGAAGATTCCACTACTGAGTCCGGTTTACAGATGGAGAAAAGGGTTTGCTGAGATACAGTGGCAGAAGTAATGCTGAGTCCAGAGCCCATGCTTTTAACCACTTCCTCCCAGCTGTAATTCTCTGTTAAACCACCGAAGCCTTGTTTGCCTAGTCCTCTGTTTTGCAACATCTGTTTCATGAAAAAGTCCACGGAAAAGTCTCAAATGGCCATGTGTGCTTATTCCAGGTTCCATGCCTTTGTGGTGGTGCGTCGTGTTTGCTGTGCAGCTGCTGTCCCAACACTAAGAATTCCACGGTGACACGCCTCATCTACGCTTTCATCCTCTTCCTGGGCGCTGTTGCATCCTGTATTATGCTGACAGAACCGGTAGAAGCTCAGCTGAAGAAGGTGAAGTAGAAGTAACAGAACCCTTACTGAACTGATGATTTTTGTATTGTGCAAAATTTTATTTTGACATTAATGTTCTTACTTATTTCTTCACTGTCATGAAAGCCAGTCAAGTTCATTGTAGCTTTGGGGTATAGTCAAGACACAATATGAAGGGGTTAGTCCTTTTCCAGAAATAAAGGAAGCCACGGTGAACATCTTCAAGTTCGAGTCTGACAACGGGAAGAAAACAGATGATGAAAGAGTGTCCCTAAAACATTTTCTTTCCATGTGTGTTTAAGACGTAAACATTTAAGCTGAACTAGGCCATCACCTTTGGAAGGAGTGAGATGTGGCATGAAAATCCATGGGAAAGGGGAGATATAGCCTCATCAGTAGAAAAGAGCAAAGAAGAGAGTGCCTCACTTTTATTTCCAAAATGCAAGTTCTTTGAACCACATGGTGATGGGAGTATAAATGAATTGGAAGACAGAGAGAGATCCCACAGGCCAGTCTTGCAGTTGTTGAAGTGGCCGTTTTACACATCAAGGCTTTCCTGGGTTGGGGTAGGACCTCCGTCTAAACGTGGGTGTTCTGTAACACTGAAATGATGTTTTCCAGATCCCTGGATTCTGTGAAGGGGAATTTAATTTCAAGGTGGCTGATCTAAAGGCAAATAAGGATTGTGATGTGCAGGTCGGTTTTAAAGCTGTATATCGGATCAGCTTCGCCCTGGCCATCTTTTTCTTTGCCTTTTCTCTGCTCATGATAAAAGTAAAATCGAGTAAAGATCCCAGAGCAGCAATACACAATGGGTACGTAAGGTTTATTTATTATTAACTTGCTATGCTACGGCGTGGGGCCCCCCATTCAGCAGGAATGCCGCCACCCTGATGGAAGCGGGGGAGTCATGAATTGGTGGCCCGTGTGTGTTTCTGACCTGTTGCACGTGTGAGGGGTTTCCCCGTCATTTTCAGTCAGGGACTGTAGCATGGGGGAGGGAGAGGGGATGAGGAGAGTTATCTTTTTTTGGGGGGGGGTATCTTTTGTTTCTTGTTCCTAAATTTTTATTGAATGCCCATGACACAGTTCAGGCACTGTGTTAGGAACCACTTTTTTCCTTTCTACTGTTAGAAGATAAGCATGTGCCTGATGTGCTTAAACTATACGGACAGATAAACAGCGAATATATTTGGGCCACTGATTGACATATTTTGTTGTTTCCCATATTCCTGGCCTGAGTTCCCCCGATTCTCATTTGAAGACTGAAGGGGGTTTGTGAACTTTGTTATAACCCCCTTTTTATAAGTGCAATAATCGAATTTCAGAGAGGTTACATAAATTGCTTGAGATCTCAGCCACTGAGGGTTGGAGCCGGGATTGAAACTCAGGCCTGTCCAGCTCCAAAGTCTGATTCTTTTTACTCTGCTGTACAAGGAGTCTTTAGAGATCGCGGACTAAAAGCCAGGTGTGGTCTTGGCTTTGCCAGCGATGAGCTGTGTAATTGTGAGCAGGGCACTTCTGTGTTGTAAAGGAAGGGTTGGGGGGTGACTCTTCCCCAGACCTAATAGTTAATTGCTCTATATTTAGGTAACATTGTGAGTTTAGAACACTTGAGAATGCTAGAAAAATTCCTATCTTGAAGTGCTGAAAGTAGGGAAACTCTACAGATACATGTTCTTTGTAATATGAATGTGAATGCGATTGCTCTCTGTGCTTAAATTGTGTAAAACCCTGAATGAAGTAGCTTCATGTCAAATGAAGATCCAAGCCCAGACAGGCGTGTTGAAAATGCTATTCAGACTTATTTTTGCATTTTATAAATTAATTTTCTTGGTGTAAGAGTGAAAATTACCCTTTCATAAATGCATTTTTTATATTCTCATAGGTTTTGGTTCTTCAAAATTGCTGCCATTGTTGGCATCATGGTGGGCTCTTTCTACATCCCCGGGGGCCACTTCACCACAGGTACGGCTCTGCGCTGAGGGGGTTCGTTGTCATGGGTACCGACTCTGCAAAGGGTTGAGTTACAGCTGTGTCTTCATTACTGATTGTGCAGAACTGACAAAGGAGATGGTGTCCAATTATATGACTTGGCACTACTATGAAGATACTAATTGGTTAAAGCCAGGAGGCATTCAGGTCACTTCTCAGCTGTTCTGGAACCGTATCTAATTGTGTGCCAATATTTTAATAGGTCATATTCTTCCTTGGCAGTACTGAGCTGATTAGAGAGCTTGTCAACATAAGGACTTGTAACTTGTGCTCTAGCATCCTGTCTTTTTATTCTTTTTTAATTTTTAAATTTTACTTATTTTTCAAGAGAGGGGAAGGAAGGGAGAAAGGGGGAGAGAAACATTGATTTGAGAGAGGAACATCAATCAGTTGCTTCTCACATGCTCCCTAAGAGCCAAACCTGCAATCTAGGCATGTGCCTTGACCGGGAATTGAACCGGTGCCCTTTCACTTTGTGGGATGATGGCCAGCTGAGCCACACTGGTCAGGGCTCTACCATCCCTAACCATGGTATCGAGCGACTTATGTGGATGTCCACCGTGCTTGTTCCTCCCTGTAGAGGAAAGGAAAGGGCTTCTAGTAGCATTGGAAGGTCAGATCCTAGGCTCCCCTTGGCACAAGCTAGAGCGAGTTCTAAAAGGTCTGAAACCCAATGGAACACTTTTCAGAGAGTTACCTCTGAGTTTGGAGTCAGAGTAATCCTGCCTTACTTACTGCTGAGCAGAATACGTCTTTCCCACCTCTCTCTCTCTTGAATTGAAATCTTCTTAGATTGTTAGTTAACATTCTGAAATGTTACTTCTGTGGGAAAGAATAACTTTGTTCTTTTGGTTTGTAGCCTGGTTTGTTATTGGCATGATTGGGGCCTTCTTATTCATCCTTATCCAGCTGGTGCTGTTGGTGGACATGGCTCACTCTCGGAATGAATCCTGGGTAAATCGAATGGAAGAAGGAAACTCGAGGCGCTGGTATGCTGGTAGGTGTCTAAACTCACCCGTGAGAGTCGTTCTGCGTTATTCTGTATTACACAGGGAGTGCAGGAAAAATCTCCACTGACTGAAATGTATAAACTTTCGAGGTTGAGCAGACTTTTTAAACTAATTTCTCGTTGGGTTCATTGTGAAGTATATGTGTTTCTGGAAGGGAGTAGCACAGATACTGTGTCACTGGATTTTCCCAATTCATTTATTTTGAGATTTGTGATGTAACTACTTGTGTTCGGATAAGGAGAAGAGTTGTATTTAGTGACGTAATTTTGGTTTTGATTTCCTTGTTTCCCTGGACGAGGGGACTCAGATGCATTCTATGTATGGGGCATCTGCCAGCATAGGCAGAGGAGGTGGACAGTTCTTACTGCAGGCTTTATTCAGAGTGTGGCTGCGCACCTCTGGTAAAATTTGTCTGTTGGGAAAGGGGTACTTAAAACGTTCAGGCTGGAACAGGATTTATAGGCTGAAATAATGGGAAGGGACTCTGGAGCCCTCTACTTATTAGGAGCAATGGCCCAGCCATACTTCAGTTTTAAAAATGGTGGCTGAGGTTCCCTGCCCTGACTCCCTTCCCCCAATTATAAAATAATAGATGCTCCATGTCAAGAACTTGAAAATCAAAAATCACAAAAGAAAAAAATTCCCCTGTAATCTAACTCCCTAGTAATTATTACTCACTGTTAGCATATTAGTCTAAATCCTTCTAGTCTTTTTTCCTATGTGTACCTTCTATGTATAAACAAAAGTCATTGAAAAATGTGACTGTGTTTGTGTCTTATTTATTTTTTAATATATATTTGAATAGTTTACAGTTTGACTTTTTTTTAAAACTTAGAGATAGCTCGTGAATATATTTGGCTGCTGGACAGCAGTGCACCTGATAACCTGTCTGCGCACCTGTCTGATTATTTCCTTGGAATAAATTCCCAGAAGCAGAAGAGTCAGAGGGTGTGGACATTGTAAATGCTCAGTACGTGTTATCAAATTGTCTGGTTTTCCTTTCATATTATTTATTTAGGGTGCATCTTTTTAAATTGAAAAAGAAAAAAAAATAGAACCATTTTTACCATAAACACAAATGATAGAATTTTATCAAGAAGAAAACATGTAGCTACCAGCCTGCAACCACCCACTTTCCTCTCCAGATGCGTCCGCTGTGACCGGACCTGCGTGCACTTGCGCACGTCTGCTTGTGTTCGTACTTAAATGCCAGGAGGTTTACACTGTGTGTTGTCCCGTGACTTGCTCTTTCACGTACTGTGTGATGAACACCCTCCTTGCCGGTGCACACAGGTGTGCCTCATTCATTAGCAGCTGCGTGGTGTTCCAGTCTGCACCTCCATGGTGGTCCGCATCACAGTGCTCCATGATGGGCATTTAACACTGCTCTGTTGTTGGCCCTTTAAAGTGTGTGTAATGACAGCTTATTGCAGAAAAAGGTTTTTTAAACTATCACCATTGTGGGTTGGGAATCCCGAAACTCTCCTCCTTTCTGCCTAATAAAATTGTATTTCATTTTTTACCTATTCTGTATAATTCATTTTGGGTCACTCCAACTCCAGAAGAATTTAATAATGAATGGTAGGTTTGCCATACTTTTATGTAACTAAAACTAAGATCTTGTGTGTTCAGATAGAAAACATTAGGAACTGTGCTAGTGACTTAATGTGCATCATTATTTTATAGCAGCGTTGTATATATAGGTCATTCAAACATGCAGAATTCACTTAGATCAAGATAAGCAGAAATTAGTTTTCTCAAGTAAGCTTGTGCTTTGAATGAAACAGCTGGTGCGCTAGACTGTGTGTACTGTTCTTGGTTTTTCAGAGTTAATTGTTCATTACTCACGTGAACAGAAAGGAACTTCGCTTTAGATATTTGAAAATAGCAAATAAGCCAATTTCCCGCAGTGCCATGGTCCTGTGACAGGAAACGGGCATCTGTAACCAGTGGCTACAGAGGAGGAACGGCCGTAGGAGAGGCCTGTCCGTTGTGTTTTGTGCTGACACCGGCCCTGGCCTTGAGCCTGCTGTGAACTGGGCCATTCTGAGGGTCAAGGAGTCGTTTAGGCTCCTAAGAAAAGCTAATAATGAACAATATTTAGCACGTACTGAGAATTTACTCTGGCTGGAATGATCAGATACCTGGCTCTTCAACCACCAAACCGAGCTAGGTAACCCAGGGAGCGGGTTCCGGTGTTCGGTCGGCTCTGCAGGTTACCAGTGAGGCAGCTCGAGCACAGCCTGAGACCTTGGGCCTTGCATCTTTCACCGCGAACTAGTAACCACCATAGAAGTGACCCAGTGTCTCCACTTTCATACAGAGTGGAGGAAAATTGGTCTTCTTTGTAAAAGTTGGTTAGACTTGTGGGATTCACGTTGGCTTCCCTTTTTGATCTTTCAGTTTTACTATCTGTCACAAGCGTCCTGTACATCGTCTCGCTCGTCGGGGTCGGCTGCCTGTATGCGTACTACACCAGGCCGGACGGCTGCACGGAGAACAAGTTCTTCATCAGCGTTAACCTGATCCTTTGCGTTATCGTTTCCATTATATCAATCCTTCCAAAAATTCAGGTATGGCTGTTTGCTGCTGCTTCCTCCAGTGGGAGTTTCAATTAGTGCGGCACTTGAAACCTAGGTGGCCCTTGATGAGAATTTGTGTGTATTTTCACCCCATTTAAACACGTCTCCAGTTATACGTAGTAACTATAAAGTGTGCCATTGGGTTGCCTGTACTATAATCAAATGAGTAATTTCCCTATCATTTAAGAAAACGTAGGTAACCTGAGAATTGATACTTTTTATGATTGTTTACATCGAAAGAATGATTCTTATGAGTCATTAGCCAAGGTATTTTAGGGGAATTAAACAGGAAAAAAAATAATTGATTTCTGTGGCTGAGTTAGTTGGAGGATCGTCCGATCCCTACTCAGGGTACATGCCTAGGTGGCGGTTTGATGGATGTTTCCCTCTCTCTCTGTCCCCCCTGCCTTATCTCTTTAAAATCAGTAAACATATCTTTGGGTGACGGTTAAAAAATAAATAAACTCATGCTCCTGAGTTTCATCACTTAAATGCCATACTTAAATTCCTGGCGTTTTATATATGAAATATGAAAAGAACATCTGGACCTCACCTTTCCTTTTAAAAGTGCGAGAACTGCGAGTTCCAGACAGACGGCCGGCCGCCTCGCTAGTCAGTGGCAAAGCGGAGCTTACACCCCACTGCACTGAGACAGTAAACCGAAACCTTTGTGCGCTGCACAGGAACCCACGGGGTCGTGAAATGCCTTGAGGACCCATAGTGTGTGCTGCTGCTTTCTTCTCGGTTCTTTTTCGAGCTAACTGAAACCGAAAGGTTGCTTGGCATCCTTGAACTGTCAAGGAGGATCAGAAGGTTCTTAGTTAATGACAGTCCGGTGGGTCCCAGAAAGTCAGCCCTACAGCGCCTGTGGCATTGTTTTCTGTTTGATCCCATAGGAACACCAGCCTCGTTCTGGCCTCCTGCAGTCCTCCGTCATCACCGCCTACACCATGTACCTCACGTGGTCGGCCATGACCAATGAGCCTGGTAAGGGAATGGCGACAGCACATTCACTTGGTGAAGAGAAAGTAGGAAATGACCCCTTCGGTGGGGTAAAAACTAGAGCCAGAGCAGATGGCGAACAAGCGAACAGACAGCTCCACTGAAGTGTGTGATGTCCACTGTTCGCAGATACTTACCTTTCAAGTTTTATTCTCCATGTCCACTCATCGCTGTTCATAGCTGACCAGCGGTCCCACACCTTTTCGGCACCAGGGACTGGTCTCATGGAAGATAGTTTTTCCAGGGACCAGGGTGGTGGGGATGGTTTCGGGTGATTCAAGCGCATTACATTCAAGCTCACCTCCTGCTCTGCGGCCTGGTTCCTGACAGGCCCAGCCGGTTGCAGTCTGAGGTCGGGATGCCCTCGTTAAGAGAACACACACACAGTCTTTTATGCTAGTCTAGGCTTCTCCCGGGCCTAAGGCGAACTAGTTAAGAGCTGGACAAGGCAACATGGTCGAGGCCTTGTGTGGAACTGTTAATAGAATTTTACTTTGTGTTATTGGCTGTAGAGCCTGTAGCTGCAGGAAATCTCCTTTTGTAGTTCCTACAGGATTGTCCCTCAGTAGGGTTTTCAGTGGATCCCTTTTAAAGGAAAACAGTTGTTGCAGACCCTGTAATGACGTCTCAGCATACTGTATCGCTTTGTAAGTATGCAACAGCAAAAGTAGGGATCAACGCCTTGCGCCTAAAGCCCTCTACATGGTTGTAGAACCGAGAAGATTTATCAGTTCAACTTTACAACCAGTCAAATCAAGATTGACGTTTAAGAAATCTGACAAATTACTGTTTCTTTTTTTCTGAAACTAGGTCACTGCTTGCAACACAAACATGTTACCGACTGCCAAGTTTCAGGTCCCTTTAAAGACAGTGCAGCGTCCCCATGTGTCACGACTGAATGTGTTCCCACAGCCCTCGAGTCCCTTCTTGGAACAAGAGGAGTTATGACTGAAGATAATGCATGCTTTCCCATTTTCAGATCCTTCCTGCAACCCAGGCCTGTTGAGCATCATCACGAACATGCCTGCATCGACCATGGCTCCTGGAAACACCACTGCTGTGGCCCCTACCTCTGCTCCGCCATCACCGAGTGGGCATTTTCTGGATAAACACGCTATTGGGGGGCTGATAATCTCTGTTATCTGCCTTTTGTACTCTAGGTAAGTTAAAAAAATACTTAAAAGAAGATTCTGATGAAGGTTGGAAATAGAGTGAAGCAGCTATTTTGCTTTCAAAAAGCAGCGTGAAGAATTTTGAAAAAGAGCCCAACGTGCCCTGGCTGGGTTGCTCGGTTGGTTGGAGCATCATCGAGTGCACTAGAAAGGTTGCAGGTTCGATTCCCAGTCAGGACACACACAGGAGGCAACCGATAGATGATTCTCTCTCTGGCTCTCCCCCTTCCCCTCTCTCTCAAATCAGTGAACATACCCTTGAGTGAGGATTTTTTTAAAAGAAAAAAAAAATAGCCTAACTCTTCTTTATTAGAAATTCTTGACTTGCCTCAGTTATGAGTCATGTATGCTTCTTAAAGTTCATTGAATTCTCTCATCGAGTAATTCCTCCCAGCCTTCCAAAGAAATACCTTCTCGTTCATACGAGGAGCAAACTCCGCGACCGACCTGGGTCAGCTAGAATAGTGGCTCTGAAAATTGGCTTTTTGCTTAAAAAAAAAATTCATTTCCCGATCATTGTGAATAATTCAACAACTACAGAATTATACACACCTAATGTAAAAGGCTCTAGTAAACCCAAGGCCCCAGGTATGGCCTGTGTTAGCAGTTACCACTGGTCCTCCCACTCATTTTTATTGATATTTTCTACATAATGGCATGTATTAGCTTAATTATCTCAAAATAGGTAATAATAAAAATTGATAAGGATATGTTCACATTAATAATATGAGAAAAGTATAAGGTAGAAGATGAAAGCGTGCTTCCTCCAAATTTACCTCTTCCATGGTTAGCATTTGGTACCTATTATTTCAGGCTGTTTTCCTTTGCATGTGTTTACCTCACAGGTGGCCTGTGGGCTGAATCCAGCCCTCCACCTTGTTTTATCTGGCCCGGCGCCTTGTTTCTACCCGGCGGCCGCACCAAGCTCCTTGCCCCTAGTTAAGCAGTAGTTACATTTACACAGCCCTAAAATGACATTCGGCCCTTTGAAGGCAACCGAGAGGCTGATGTAGCCCCCAGTGAAAATGCATGTGACACCCATAATGCTGTCAACCCATCTGTATCTATTTAATTAAACGTAACTATATATAGCTAAATATACAGCTTAATTTCTATCACTTTGTATATAATTTAAAAAATAGGAACATGCTGCATAAATACACAGACTGTTTGAGATATGAATTGGTTATAATCTGGACAGCTTTCCATAATACTATGTGTAAATTTCCTTTTTTTTTTTTTTTCAAGTGACTGCTGGAAACGGGGGTCGGCAGACCGCGGCCCCGGGCTGTCTGCCCGTTTTTGTGAGCAGTGTCGTTGGGACACAGCTGTGCTCATCCGTTCTCCTCCTGTCTGTGGCTGTGTGTGCTTGTTTCACTTCTGGCCTTTTTTTTTTTTTTTTTTGAGGAATAATTCACCTACCACAGAATTCACCCTTTAAAAATGTGAATTTAAAAAAATTCAGAAGTGTTTTAGTACGTTCACAGAGTTGCACAAAAATCACAATCAGTCTGAACACTTCAGTGACTCAAAGAGAAACCCGTACTCACCGGCAGTCGCCCCCACTCCCCCGCCCTCGGGCCCCAGCAGACAGGCGTGTCTGTCCCTGGATTCGCTTGTTCAGGTGTTCCGTGGGCGTGGAGGCGTGCGCTGTGCGGTCTTTCGTGACTGGCCTCTTCTGCTTGCCATGATGTCTCCAAGGTCCACCCGTGTTGTGCACGTGTCAGTGCTTAATTCCTTCCTGTCGTTGGAAATAGTGTGTGGTTGTGTGGCTGCAGCACATTTTGTGTGTCCGCTCACCAGGTGACGGGCGTTCGGGTGTTTCCCCTGCCGGGCTGTCGTGAATACTGTTGCTACGAATGTGTGTGCGCGCATCGTTTGTGTGGGTGTAAGTTTTTCGTTCTCTGGGGTGTGTGTACCTGTGAGTGGGATTACTGGATTGTAAGGCACCGCCCTGTTTACCTTTCTGAGGAACTGCCAGAGCATTTTCCAGAGTGGCCACAGCGTGTCACGGGGGTTCTCATCGCATTGCCTCCTTGTCACTGCGCTGTGTCTCTCTGAGCACAGCCATCCAGAGGGTGTGCCGCAGCATTTCGTTGTGGCTTTGCTTTACGTTGCCCTAGTGACGAGTGATGCTGACCATTTTTCACGTGCTTATTGGCCATGTTTGTATCTTCTTGAAGAAATGTCTATTTAAATCTTCTATTTTAAAATTAGGTTTTTTGTCTTCTATTGTTTTTTATGTGGTTTGAGGCATGGGGCCCAACTTCCTTCTGTGGTGTGCGGATGCCCAGTGCTCCCAGCGCCAGTTTTTGGGAAGACTGTTCCTTCTCCATCGACTCGTCCCAGCATCCTTGTCCGGGCCGCTACATTCAGTTGACCATGAATGTAATGGTTTATTTCTAGACTCGTAGCTCTACTGCATTGGTGTGTACGTTCGTTAATCCTTATACCAGTACCACTTTTGTGATGACTGTTTCTTTGTGCTAAGTTTTGAAATCAAGAATTGTGTGTCAACCAAATTTGTTATTTTTCAAGATTCTTTTGGCTATCCTGAGTCCCTTGCATTTCCATGTAAATTTTAGGTTCAGCTTGTCAGTTTCTGCCAAAAAAAAAAAAAGTAACTGGGGTTGGAAGGGGATTGCATCGAATCTATACATCAACTTGGAAAGTATTACCGTCTCAACGATATTAAGGCTTCTAGTCCATGAACATGGGATGTCTCGTTTAGGTCTGTCATTTCTTTCTAAGTATTTTTTGATGGTGTTGTCAAGGAGATTTTCTTTATTTTTTAGGTTGTTCATTGCTGTGCATAGGAATATAATTAATTTGTGTATGTTGATCTTATATTCTTCAAGGTGGTTCATTGATTCTGAGTGTGAATTCCTTAAGACTTCCCATGTACAAGGTCAGGTCATCTGCAGATAGAGATTGTTTCACTTTTTCTTTTCCGGTCTGGATGCCTTTTATTTTTCCCTTGCCCAGTTGCTCTGGCTTGAACCTCCAGCACAGTGTGGAACAGAAGTGACGAGAGTGGAGTGCTTGTCTGGTTCCTGCTCTCGGGGGGAAGCTTTTACTCTTTCACTGTTAGGTATGGGTTCAGCACTGGGTTTTTTACAAATGCCCTTTATTATTTTGAGAAAGTTTTCCTCTGTTCTTAGTTGGAACATTTTTGTCATCTTGAAAAGGTACTAGATTTTGTCAGAGGGCTCTTTTTTTAATGTCGACAGAGGTGATTGTGGGATTTTTGTCCTTTATTTGTATGTCCTTTGTTAGTGAGTCATTTACCAAACTTCAGTGAGCGTCTGCTGCGTGCCAGAAAAGCACAGGTGACTAAGGCCACAGTGGGCCAGGAGCTCTGTGGACAGCGAGGAGGACGGGAACGGCACGTGTTGCAGCAGAGGGAGGCTCCGAGAGCTGGGCGCATTGAACCCAGCCCGGGACGGGGTGGTGTCAGAGGAGGATTTCCAGAGGGCAGGGCACACAGCCAGAGAGGTGCGGGATGAGTAAGTTCCCTGCAGGGAGGCTGAGGGCGGCGCGTCCCAAGAGTGGTAGAGGTGCTTTCGAAGGCACAGACACAGACAGTGAGAGCACAGTATGTTTGGGGAAACTCCTAAGCAGTTAAACCACCGAGTAGTGACTGGTAAGCGTACTGTCTGTCTTGTGGTGGCAGGCGACAGTTCAGAGCTTCAGGCAGGGTGTTCAGAAGGCCGTCGGGCCCCAAAGTCGGAGCACTTCAGAAACAGCCTTCACGCACAGAGGCAGCAGATCACCGTGTCCGCGGTGCCTTTCTGATTTGTTTTCCTTGGGCTCACTTTCTAGCTTGCGCACTTCCAGCAACAGCCAAGTAAGCAAGCTGACCCTGTCCGGGAGTGAAAGTGTGATCCTCCGCGACACAGCTGCCAGCGGGGCCAGCGATGAAGAAGAGGGACAGCCTCGGCGGGTGGCGGACAACGAGAAGGAGGGAGTTCAGTACTGCTACTCTGTCTTCCACTTCATGCTGTTCCTGGCTTCCCTGTACGTCATGATGACCATGACCAGCTGGTACAGGTAGGAGGCGCGGGCAACGCAGCTGGAGGGCCGCTCGGCCCCCTCGAGCTGCCTGTAAAACCGCCATCCGTCTTTCTGACTCGAGAATCTCCTCCTCTTACCTGTATGATAAGGTTGTGTTCAGTATGGACTCTTTCCTCAAATACTTTGGAGTTTTTTTTCCTTTTGGATTGAAAATCCAGCTGGAATTCTTGCAGTGCAGATCATAAGCAGCTCTTCCAGACCTGGGTGCTCGAGAGAGGCGATCCCGGCATAGAGCGGCCTGACCCGTGTCTGCGCTCCAACTTTCCTCTGTGTCTAGAGAGGGCCGTCTCGAGTACTCCAGTGCAGGGGATGGTTGGCGCGGGGGACGTCTCGAGGAGGCCGTTTCAGTCTAGATGTTCTGCAGTGTCTGGAACAGCCCGCTGCTCCCAAAGAACTTGGATAAAATATGTTTGAGAGGCAGGCAGAGTTCCCTGCTCATAAAAACTAAAACAGCAGCTTCCTCGAGTCCCTGCTAGAACCTTCCCAGGGAGCAGTGTCAGTCAAGTGTCCCTGGAGAATGTTCTGGCTTCGGCTGGGCGGCGGCTCGCTGCTGAGATCCAGCTCCTTTTCCTGACTCTCTTCTGTTTTCTTAGCCCTGACACCGAGTTCCAGAAGGTGACCAGCAAGTGGCCAGCGGTGTGGGTCAAGATCAGCTCCAGCTGGGTCTGCCTCCTCCTCTACGTGTGGACCCTCGTGGCTCCGCTCATCATCACCAGCCGTGACTTCAGCTGAGCCCCGAGGCCCGGGACGCCGCTGGAGTTCGTAGGCTGCCTGTGCTGGGAGCCCCGCTGCTTTTGCTTCAACTAAAATAGTCAGTGAACGCTTTGCGAATTTGACTGTATCAGGGTTCGTGCCTGAGGGCAAGGCTGAATTACTACGGACGCAGGATCTGAACTTTACATGTATATTATGCTTATTTTAAGGATAGAGCACAAAGGGAACATTTTTGCATTGTAAAGTGAAACTACAGCTGTGCTGTGAAGAGTTCTTTATTAAGACCTATAGGTTCCTGCAACTTTGATGTAAAATATAAGATAGAAAAATATCAGATATTTGAGGCCATCGTTAATATATTTCTATTGCAGTATCCTTAAAGAGCAGGAAAAAAGTAATAATGTGTGTGTGTGGCAGGTTTCCTCCCTGAAAGTCTCTGCTGGTGTGGTCCTAGCCCTCTGCTCTGTCCTGAAACGCTCGAGGCGTAATATCGCGGGTTTGCTTGGGCAAAGTGGTGTGTGTGTGTGTGTGTGTGTCTTTCCCCCGGGAGGGCTTGCTGATGGGGCCGCTGCTTCTGCATCCTGAGTTTTTTTCATTTTTTTTATTACTATGGCACTGATGCTGCTTGATTCAAGTCTGGCTTTGCCAGAACGTTAATTTCAAAAAAAAAAAAATGCTTTATAGGTTTGGTTAAAGTGAAGATTCACTTGGGAAAACACTGCAGCTTTAGTCTATGTAATTAATTATGTTACGAATATGTAAAAGTAAAATGCATGTGAGTTATATTTGCACTATAAGGTACTTGATTAAAATAGACTCATGCTTTTAAGGCCCTTTCTTTAACAGCTTTTACAAATTAGCAGCCATTCTGTGTTTTTAAGAGTTATGCGAGCAGGCAGATTTATCAGACATCCAGCAGAATGCACCCAGTCCTTCTAAAACTTAAGGGCTAGTGAGTAAAGTCTTAAAACTCATTCAGAAATTGTCCTAATACATACCGCTGGGTGAGACGCTTGGGTAGAGGAAAGGCAGGGGCAGGAACGTCAGGAATCCTCTGGAAGGGGTCGTGCGCAAGGAGAGAGAAGTTTGTTCTTTTAACCAAGATTTACTCTGTTCTTTACCGGCCGTCAGGAGTTGGGATGCAGCACCTTCTCCGCCACGGTGGACTCCCAGTTTCAGGGAGGGTGGAAACGAGCTGACAAGGGGTGTGATGTGGTGTCCCTGGTGCCGTGATTCTGGAATCGCAGAGAGCTCAGAGAAGCGGTGCCCGGTGCAGGGCTGCCACGGTAGGCTTCCTGGGGGAAGTGATGTCTAAGCTAAGAACTGTTAGGGGCTGCTGAGAAGAGAGGTGGGAAGGGGGTGGCTTTGCTGAAGAGTAGACAAAACTGCATGTTAAAGGCAGGGAGATTTTAAAAAAAAACGTATAAAGCTGGAATAGGGAGAAATGGGCAGGGACCAGGTTATAAAGGGCTTTGTAAACCACACAGAAGAGTTTGGACCTTATGTTGAGGGCAGCGGGGAGCTGTGTCTTCAGTCTCCGCATGTTAGAGAATGGATGTAAAGAGAGAAGGCCAGGGCAACCCATGTAAGATCTGAAAAGGAGACGTAAAAGTGCAGATGGGGAGAAAGGGGTCGCTCAGAGCTACTTAGTAAACTACAGTTTAATGACTGGCAGTGGTTCGATGTGGGGGAGAGGTAGATTCCTGAGGGATTCTGGTTTAGTGACCTGCATCAGTGGCGGTTCCATCTGTGTGGTGAGGGGCAGGAAGAGGGACCCGGCATGCCAGAAGGAGGGGGGTGTGGGCCCTGAGAATGGCCAGGCGCATAATGCCTGGAAGTCTGGCTGGTTCGCATCAATTTTGCCATTTTCTGCCTGTCAAACAGCTAACATTTATTAAATCTGTACTAAGCTTTATGACCTTGGGCAAGTGACTACCTGTCTGAGCCCCGCTGTTTGCCCTGTTTGGACAAAAGGTAGTACCTACTACCTAAGATTGTTTAGAGAGCAAAGCTACTTTGCAAAGTGCTCAACCCATTTTAAGCACTCGGGTAGTACCTGGTAGTCTCAGTAAGGGCTAGAAGAGACTAGACAATATTCCAAGGTCAGAGATTTTCAGCCAAAACCTAGTGCAGGCTAGATTCGCGTGTTCTTGCAGAATTAAACACAGGGAACACAGAGGACATGTCTCAGCTGGGGTGGAGGTGGGCAGGGCAGCAGGGTGTGACGGGTATGGTTGGAACCACCGTCTGCTAAACCAGTGGTTCACGTTGGGGTACAGGGACAAGGCTGTGAGGGACTTGGGGGGCAGCTGGAGGAGGGTCAGCCCTTTTCCAGTGCGAAGCAGATACCCCTCTTCCTGAGCAGAGGCCAGCCAGATCGAACCCATTAAAGGTCCTAAACTCCAAAAACATGGTGTACCAACCCCCCCCATGTACTTTAAAATAAAAGCAATACTAAACTGTAAAATAAGTGTAATAAAGTCCAATAAAGTTTTTTAATTTTTCTTATGATGATAATTTTGATACTAATTTGAAATAACAGGTTTTCTTTAAAAAGTAAGGGGCAGTGTGCCTGCTGTGTGTGGTTTTGCACCCTGAGAATAAGTTCGGTTGGAAACCCAATAGTTTGCCTAAGACTCAACTGAATTATCCACACATGTGCTGAATTTTAGACAAGCGTAAGTGTCAGCAGTTTAAGTCCAGGATAAGACTGTAAAGCAGGATCAGACCGTATTTTGAACCGTCACACCTGATGGTGTCACCTCACTTCAGACGAGAAGTACTTTGTCACCATACACAGGCCTGCCTGTCTCCCGGGATAGCAGACGGAGGGCCCTGGCTTGGAGGTCCGTGACATGCTGGAGGGGTTCATCCAGGGCATCGGCCGTGGCTGCCACCTGCACCGAGGTACTCGTTGGAGGGGCTTGTAGGCCCGTGCTGGCTGTGCTTTCTAGGTGGTTGTGAGAAGTACTCACTCCGCTGGGAACTCAGACTTTGTCTTGACAACCAGACACACCGCCAGAGAACGGCTGTGGGCCTGGGTATCGGCGCTTGTGATGTTCCAGACCACGTCACAGCTCAGGCTTGGCTTAAACCAGCACAGCTCTTGTTCATTCCAAGCCCTTGCTTAGTTGTATTTTCCTTTTACCCGTCAAGCTAAAGTGAGGATGCATAAGAGGCACACATTTCACCTCTGCAGACTGAGGCAGCTGCCAGGCTCAGGCTTACGCACAGGAGCAGCGCTTCACGTCTGTCCCTCTGTGTGGGTCTCCGGTGTCTGCCATGTCACCCAGGAGGAGCCAAGGCAGGGAGCTGCTCAGGGATGTCCTGAGTACCGCTGAGTGACTCAAGCCACACGGTGCCTGTGACCTCAGGTGAAGGGTAACAAGTCGCTACATGTGCCCAGTGACGAACTGACGACATCCACACCTGGCATCCCCCTTTCACAGACCACCGAGGCTTAGGGAACTCAGTTCTTCCTTCGACTGCACAGACCCCCACTGTCTCTTGGCCTACGAGGCCCTGGGAGACAATACAAACTCGAGACTGCTTAGGGACGTGCAGGGGAGCCAACTGGCTCTCCAAGCCACCCGTCACTAACAAAGGGAAGTTGGTAATCCCCTGAAGGCAGCAGCTAGCTTCTTACTAGGTCACTGTACCCCTAACGGTTGGCACCTTATCAGGTGAGAGAGTGGACATCTGATTAAACATTTTTTTCCCGAAAAAGTGGCACCTTAAATGATGTGATTATTCACCAGCTTTAAATGCAATAACATGAAACGTTTGCCATTTGTTACACGGATGCCAAACCAGTAACGTGAGACAGGGCACCGGGGAAAATGAAGGTGTTACAAGAAGTGCTGATGCCCAGCACGGACAGTAACTACTCCAGTGGCTGCTTGTCAGGTGCCTCATCCGTGGCCCTGGAACACTGCTGTAGGGTGAGGGCGGGAGCCGGGGGCCCACGGGCCCACACTGAGAGGCTGAGCTCCAGTCCCTCAGCCCCCTCCGGGCAGGCGGACCCAAAGGGCTGCTGTGTTGCCGTGTAAGGACTCACCTGTTGCATCATCAGAAGCCAACGATAAGTGTACGGACGTCCTGCATGACAGGATCTCTCAGCCGAGCTGCCACTCACAGGGCAGGCCCACCGGGGGACCTGGCGTTCGTCTCCTCTGGGCAGAGCGTGTGTCCTCTGCAGACGCAAACGGGACGGGCGGAGAGGTGGCTGAGTGTGCAGAGGACCAGCACCAGTCGAGCCGTTCGCTGGTTCACCTCCCATGGAATCTGCGTTTACTTCTAGGTGCTTCTAGAATAAAATGTCCAGTTACAACTTGGGTGTCAGAGGTTAAGAACCTCTGCTTTCTATTTTCTAAGAAGCCAAAAAGAATAAAGTCCATTTTTAGACCGATGCTTCCTCACTCAACAGGTTCCTCCCTCCGGCCCCTCCGTGTCCGGCTGTGGGCTGAGGGTAGGGGGAGCACAGCCTAGCGCCATTGGGAGGCAATGACGGGCTCCAGGCAGGCTGCCAGGCTTCCAGCCCCAGGTCCGCTGCCCGACTCGCTCTGCGTCCCTGGGCGAACCGCTCACCTGTTCTGTGCCTCCCCTTCCCCACAGCGGCAATACCACTGCCTCATTAAGGGCGCCTGACGGTTACATGAGATCACCTGTGTGAGGAACACAGCCGCCGCCCGCCCTCGTGAACTCGCACTGGAGGTGCAGGGCCAGCCCGGGAACTTCACCTCGGCCTTGAGAACCAGAAAGCGGCCCGTCCTCCCCACCACCGTGTGCATCTAGCTCCACCCTCCTCCCCACACACTGGTGTCCTCAGATGCACGTGGCCTTCCGTGGCAGCCCGCCCCGGGCCTACAGAAGGCATGTGCGTGCCGTAAATAAAAAGCCCTGCAAGCCTCCCCCGAATGGTTACTGTCACAAAGGGAGTCCACACACACTCGGCCTTACAGGGACTTTTATTGTTTCCGACCCAGTCATGCATGCTAAAATGACATGTTTCTACCACTTGGACTTAGAAAATGCACTAGAAAAATAAACTTTTGGTCACAATGAACACTGACGTGGGCGAATCCACCACATGTCCCCACACTCAGAGCCAAGCTGACTTTCGGCTCGAAGCGAGGAACGTGGACAGCGGCTAAACCAGTGCCCGATCCGGCCGGAAAATCGGCCCACCTCCCACCGCAGCCCAGCGGTGCCAGAGGTCGCCGGCCCGAGAGAAGTTTCGAGTGTCTCACTTGTCACGGTCACCCCCGATATGCCAAGAGGCGGGGCACGTCCACAGCAGCCCCAAGGGCAGCCACCTGACTGCCCAGCTGGTCACGCCGCCTGGTGGGATGGAAGGAGAGGCGGCGAACTGGAACGGTGTATGCAGTACCAGCGTCGGCATCCACCAATCACCCGGGCCGCCCCGTGGCGCAGACCCTACCGAGGAGCACTGTCTGCTCTGTGCTGCCTACTCCTTACATCCCCAGGAAACCACCTCTGAGCCGGGACGGCAGAAGGGAATGGACTGTGGACCTACAATATTAACAGCGCCCAGTCCCGAGAGGCGTGAGAACTGACGTCGCTCCCAGGCGGTCATGAGGTTTGGCATCTGGGCACCTCCCACGCCACAGGCCACCCCACGCACACATCAGCTAATGTTCTACTTCCTAGATGGAGAAAGGGCTTTAAAGGAAAAGCTTAAAAGCCGAAAACTTCAAAATGAGGTATTATAATAATGCCACACAGCACCACAGCTACTGCCCACCCAAATGGAAAAAGGAATCCCGTGTGCTGACCTGAGGATCGGACGGCAGGTACAGACAATGCCCCCGGGGGAGCTCGGGAAGGCTCCACGTCTCACAGGAATGTGGGGAGAGTGCCTCTTTCTTGCCCGGCTGCTTTTTGGCAAAAAAAAAAAAAAAAAAAGTAGCAGCTTGTAAGCTGAAGTGCTTGTAAACTTGAGGACAGGGAGCTCCTGGGAAGCAGAATGAGGCGCGAGGGAGCTAGAGCCGCCTCCGTGGAAGGGCAGGCGAGAGGAAGCCAGGCTCGCGTGTCCTGCTGCTCCTGCACTCCCTTCCTGTGAAGTCCGGCCCTTCCCCACGCACACACGGTGGGGTTCCGGGAAGAGACGCTCTCCTGTGTGGTGGTATGTGGGAAGAAAGGGGGGGAACCCCGTAGTACCTCAACTTACAGATTCACTTGGAAGCTGCAAGCGCCAGTTCATTCTGACCTACATTTCCTGAATGGCCCCGATGAGAGGGCCCCTAATAAGACAGTGTCCCTGTGACGCAGGGACCCTGTGACAGGGTGGCTGATGCCAGGAGCAGAGTTCTCAGTCGGGGTGTGATCCCGTTAGTACATGATGACTCTGGGGTGCTCAGGGACTCACCCAAAGCCACACACCAAGGTACAGCTAGAACGCATTACTGCTGATTCGTGCTTCCCTTCCCTACACTGTGCTACGCTGAACTTCGGGAGAAGTTCATTTTGGGTGCCCGCGGAACAGGCCGAGGTTTTTCCCTAAAGGCAAACGCTCCCAGTCCTCCGCCTGTCCGCTGGGGTGCCCTCAGTGAGCCCCCACTGTGGAGCAAGGCTCCCTGAGTGCTCCCCTGCCCCTGCTGGGGAACTACAGACATGCCTGGTGGAGCCAGGCTGCCGTGAGCTCCAACCCGGGGCGGGCCTGCTTTCCCAGCCTGGTTTGGACCCCAGAGGTGCCCAGACTGTGTGCGGGATCTCTCTCTGGAGCCAGAACAAAGCACAGCCGCTCCAGCAGGCAGGCGGACACTCGCTGGCTCCGACTCCTCCCACGCGCTGTAAGGAATGGCTCCTTGGTTCAGCCACAGAGGCCGAAACATCCTTCCTGGCCTCTGAGACAGAGAGCCTGGCCACCCAGGTGACATCACACCGACAAAGGCAACGCAGAGTTTCAGCCCTGGAAGCCCGGTGGGGCCGAGCAACTCATTTTCCTGTCTAGCTTTTTTTGTTTTGTTTGTTGTTTTGATCTCTCTCCTCTTTGGGACCTAGTCAAGCCTCTAACCGGTTTGCCTCTCCAGGCAGACGGGCTCCGAACCCTCTACCTACGTTGGCCGCCCCACGGGTCCCACTTAGATCTCTTCAGCTACGCGGGTCACACCATCGTCACCAGATGGGACTCGAGGCGGCCAGGGTGTGCATTTTGGCACCTGCAGCTCAGCCAGGCCCCGAGGGACCTGGGGGCAGTACCAAGGGTGACTCGAGCTCTCCCTAGAATTGGCACTAACGAGGTAAGTAATCTCCACCACCACCTTCTCCAGACATTTTCAAAAGTGCTATGAAGATAAACAGCTTATTCGCAACAGACTGGCCTTCTAATTTCAGTGCACTGTTCCCTCCCTAACCAAGCTGTCCACCGTGCCTGGTGGCCTGGTAAGTGCACAGAGAAGGTACACACACAACACACAGTTCTTGTCGCTTTTTAACATAATTTACAGGGAATGAACAGGAAAGGAAATAGGTCAAAAGCCACACGATGAACCCTGTCATCTGATGCCTGGGCAAAGGCTAACTTCTTCACAGGAAGGATCTAAAGTGTCGAGATGCAAGACACTCAGGCTGGCTGAAGTGTGTCCGCCCACACCAGAAAGAAATGCAGGATGGTTAGGGAGGGCAGGGGCCCCAGAAGTGGCCTAGCAATAACCTGCCCTTGAACTCACTTCCAGAGACCAAAATTTCTGAACCCCAGTAATTCAGCCACCCCCTGCTGCCACTTTACAGAACCTCAGGGATGCGGGAAACCCATATAAGATCCTGGTCACCTCACCTGCCTGCCCCCACAGAGCCACCCTCTTCACGTCTAACCCTCACTATGAGAAGGAAGTTAGTATCGCTGGGCCCCGGGAACACACAAACTTATTCCTTTAAAGGCAGGGCCCAATGGGGAGCGATACATCCCTCCTGGGAAGGCCCAGGTGTACCCCAAAGAACGATCCAGCCACTTGCACCTAGAGGGTCATCTTTCTAGACAGAAAAACGATGTCTGGAACCCAGAGCCGCAGCAGCCCAAGGGCCCCCGGGGGCGTTTCACCCAGCCTCCTCCCGCAGACGAGAGGACGGAGGCTTGGAGGCCAGGCCTTGTCCACAGTCACACACCGAGGCTGGGGCTCAAGTCTCTTAATTCTCAGGCTCGAAATCTTTTAGCTACGCAGGCCTGGCACCAGCATTTAGGGTTGAGTGAAATTACGTACTTCTAGGACCCTGCGTGATTCTGCTGAGAACCAGGGCTAAGGCTTTATGGACTTGGGGAAACGAGTTTCTATTGCAAGATTTGACCAAGGAATCCCATGGTGCTTGGAGCCTCTGGCTCCCGAACGCGATCACAAGTGCTGCTCGGTCCCGACGGGTGCCCGATCCAGATAAGGTGCTTTCCAAACCCCCGACGGCAACGGGCCTGGGCCTCCGACGTGTCGATTCCTGATGAGCAACTGAAGTCTGGGGTCAGGGGTCGAGTGAAAGACACAACCCCCCGCAGGCTCACGTGTGGCCACCTTGCAGCCTCGACCAAAGCGTTTCAGAGGAACGTGCTGACCGGCCCATCGGGTCATTTTCTTCTCCTGGGACGTGGGGCCAAAGCGACTTGGGTCCTGATTTTTCTCGCTTTGAGATGTGTGAGAACCAGACACAGCTTCCAGATTAACGGTTGCAAACTGGGATTCCAGACATTTGGGAATCACTGGAAACGTTTTCTGGGTCTTCCGTGGAATGATTCAAGTAATCCAGGGCGCACCCCTCGGCTTGCCCTCGGGGCAATCCAGGCCTTCCTCCGAGCTGCAGCGCACTGACGAGGGGCAAGAACGAGCCCATGGCACCGGAAATTCTCCGTGTGCCCCCCCAACGGGAAAAGGAAAGGACTCAAAGGTGGCGATGCTCACGGGGACGCGCTAGTAGCAGGAGTACAGCTGTGACTTCACGGCCCGCACGGAGTCGTCGCACTGGGCGTCTGAGGCCGGGCCCTCGGCCGGCAGGGCCGGGCCCAGGATGCTGTCGCAGGCGGGGATGGGCTGGCAGAACTCCCTCACGAAGTCCTCCTCCGAGGCCAGCAGCACCGCGTTCCAGGCGGTGACGTCCAGCTCGCCGGCCGTGCCCCCGTACTCCTTGGGGAGGATGCTTTTCGGGAGGCTTGTGTGGAGCGAGTTCAGGTCGGACCCGTGGAGGAAAAACTGCAGGGGAAGGAAATGAAAACGCACATGGCCTTAGGTCAAACACCGCTAACTCGGTAACCTCCTTCACCGTACGTGTCAAGCAAGTATCTGGTGAACGAAGAAAGGGGCAGCTGATGGCAAGCCTCCCCTTCCAGTTCCTCAAAAAGCCTCAGGATCCTTAACTCTCCTTTCCTTATTCCCTATGCTCTGTTGGCTATTACATCAAAATATGCCCAGATTCCAAGCACCTCGCTGCCACCCTAATGGCACCGTGCTGCCGCCACTGCCCCCCTGGCCACCCACAGCAGCCTCCTTCCTGGTCTCCCTGCTGGCGCCCTGGTCCCACCGCAGCCCGAGTCCTCCCAGCGGAAGTCTGACCGCGTCACTCCCCCGCACAGCGCTCCCGCCTCAGACTCAAGGCTGGAGTCCCAACGACGGCCCACAGGGTCTGTCACAAGCCGGCAGTTACTGCTCTGCCTCCCGCCTCAGGGCCGGCTGCTGCTGGTCCCCGCAGAGCTGTAAGGCTCACTCTGTCACCTCTTTCAAGTCTCCGCTCAAATGCCAACTTCCCAATGACGCCACCTCCAACCGCCCTGTTGACTACCACAACCCCTTCCGCCTTCCCACACTCACTGCGCCCCTTCGCTGCTGTGTTTCTCTCCACGGTACTTACCAGGTTCTAACACCAGCCAACGTGCGTAATCTGCTGTCTCTGTCTCCCTAGAACATAAGCTCCCTGGGGGCACAGATTTTGGTCTGTTTTGTTCATCCAGAGCATACTTGCACATAGTAGGTGATCAATATTTATGAATGAATGAATAAATGAATGAATGAACACATGAAGGGCCACAGGGACAAGACTGTGGGCCACAAACAGGGTCATATCACAGACGTAAAAGACCTGGTCCGGAGGCTGCTTGGGGGAGAGCAGGCTCCAAACAGGATCTCCGGAAACCGACACGGGCTCAGACCCGGGCACGGAAGCTGCTGAGCCGACGGCCCCAGACGCAGCCGCAGCAGGCACGCCCCGGCGATGTTAAAAGCACAGCCCTGGCCTCCGGGCTTCACCCGAGCTGATGAATTAAAGCCTTCCGGGAAAAGGCCTGGGGACCTGGATTTTTAAGTTCCCTCCCTCCCAATCTTGAGATTCTCTGCCTTTCTGCTCTTCCTCTTTGAAAACCACATTATGAAATTCAAGATCCAGTCTTGGGTGTGATCACAGTCTTGGTAGGTCGAGGGAAGGAGGAGGAGGGTGCCGCCCCTCCCATTGCAATCCCGGTGCTGGGAAAGGCTGAGCGGTGGCTCTTCCATTTTCTCAAGTGTCATCCGTCTGTTCTCAATAAAAATTAAGCTAAAAACTCACAAATCTCATAAACCTTGAAGTAGTGCCCAAACTTTCCGCAGCGAGAAAACAAAGTAGGTAAATGGAAAGGCTTAAATAGCATTTTGCAGCCCAAGGAGCCGTAGTGAGAAACTTCCGTAACTCTTCGTAACCGCCTACCCCGTGACTGCCCTTTTCCGCGTGAAATACGACGTGGGTCCGTAAGGCCCCGCCCGGGACATCGGCAAGTCCCCACGATGACGGAGCTCTTCGGGGGCGGCCCTGGCTCTGCGCCCCCTACTGTCAAACGTCACACTCGTACTCACCTCATCCTCCCTCGGAGGAAGGACTGTTCACTGTACTTCCCACGTTAACGGTCCCAGGGAAAAAATAATAAACTAAAATAACTTCACTGACGATGTCACAAACAAGGGAGCAAAAACAAAGTAAAGTACTTAAGTCTAGAGGATCGCCACTTACCCTGTTTGCTATTTTCTCCTTCAGAAACGGTTTTATGATGGCAAAAATGCCCTTAAATATGCGCGGCTCATTCACCACGTGCACTGCTTTTATCCGAATGGGGAAACCGTCCTGCGCGGGAAGGAAAGGGGGTGTTAGCACATGCAGGGTATTTGCCAAGTGCCTGTTGCCACAGCCTGCCTCCCCCCGTGAAATCTTCTGCATTTCAGGCCCCACCATCAGTCTGGTACCGTTCTCACGGCCTCAGAGAAACCCGAGTGGGTGCTGAACGGGACGGCAGGCCTCCGGAAAGGGCCTCTCCTGGGACCCAGAGCTGGGTAAGGGTGGGGAGGGGTCGGGCAAACTAGTGGGGAGCTGCTCCTCCTGTGGCGAAATAAACGTGCTGAGCCTGAGAGGGTGGGCCTAGAGGCGCCACCCCCGCTGGGCCCGTGCTGCCGCCCGAAATACGTCCTCAGGAAGTTCCGGGGTGTGATGCAAAAGAGGGCCCCACAGTGGGCAAGCAGCTGCGAGCAGGAGACTCAACACTGTCAAATAGGCTCCACGGCTTTAATGTGCAGATGCGTACATTGAAATTCCCAAGGAAGGAACTCACTTTACCTTATTCCCCAAACTTACCCTGGAATTTTGTCTCCCAGATCGCCTTACAGGACTAGGAAACAGTGACCCACACTCACTACACTGATCCTCGCATCTACATGGGATTTAGCAGGAGGCATCAAAGAGAAGTGGCTAAGGAGAGGCAGAATTCCCATTTCTGACAACGACCAAACGTGACCTTGGTGTACGGCCTGGGGCGCCGCAGGTGGGGCTCGAGCTCACCGAGAACGGCTCCTGCTCCAGTGCCCCACAGCCCACAGGGGACAGCGCCCCCCGGGCTGGGTCAGAAGGGACCGGGAGTCGAGCCCGTTGGAGACCTGGGCCGGACTGCATCCTCTAGGCCTCGGTTTCCCCATCTACCAAAAAGGAGAGATGAGCCTTGACTCATCTGTCTCGAAACATTCCTTGAAGGACTAGAAGGGCAGGGCGACTACAAAAGCGCACCGCAAACCGTTACACGCAGTGAAGACACGCAGAGAATGTGATGGTTCTCCGTGCCCTGTGTTCTGAGACGTGGACCCCAAGGGCAAGAGCGTCCGGCCCGACAGCGCCCACGTGCTCAGTCCCACGGGCGGCAGGACGGGTTCCACTACCTCAGGCAGCAGCACGGCATCTGGGGTTCGTTTGCTAGGAGAATTTCTCCTCTGTCTTCTCGATTTTAAAAAAAAAAAGCAGAAAGCATTTCTCTGGCTTCTGGACTCTTGCCCGAGAGCTGGTCTCGCCTGACTGAAGGTCCCTCAGAAACAATGGGAGGACCTCACGGAATGCGTGGTAAACAGACTTCCACATTTCCCACAGTGCTTCTGCATCTCCTCGCTGTGGGAGTGGGAAGGGGGGTGCGCACCACACAGGGAAATGGGCGGAGCCCCGGGGAATGCCAAGGCAACCACGGAGCGGGCACGCAACCAATGGGAGCCATACCTGAAGGATGCCAATCACCTTTTTGGCTATGAAAGGGCCAAAGTGAGACGCTTTTGATAAGCTCACTCCTTTGTAGTCTGCAAGGATGACAATTCCATTCACTTGGGTTTCTTCAGACTGAATGAGTTTTTCTAACGTCAAGTATACGGCTCGGATGTTTTCGGTAATTGGATAGTTGCTCGGTATCCACCTGTCTAAGAGAAGATCGGTACGTTACAGAAATAAATACAGTCAGACAGGCTAAGGTTTATCTCCACGCTGAAACAGATGTTTGAAAAAGAAAAGCCACATCCGCTACTGGCCTGGCTCTATTCAGGTCGGGAAGTCAGACACCTTAGGCAGCAGCTGCCGTTTCGTAGCTTCAAGCACAGCAGCGTGTTCCCAAGTGCAGAAGCAACTGAGTGTGGAAATGACAAGTGTGAACCCTCACGTCCGACGCTGGGTGAGGTCCTTCCTTACCCTGAGCCTGCCCCGCCTCACAAGCAGAAGGGGACAGTGGTACTCATCTTAAGGGATATCTGTGCCTCCTGCCGTCAGATGTGTCTTCATAACCGCACCCTGATCTCTCCCGGGGGGACCACTCTTCCTAGGCTAGCCATGCACTTTGGACCCAGCTGAACTGACTCCCAGCTCCAGGCGCGGGCTTGGCCAAGCCAGGTCTCACATCCGCCCGGCCAGAGTGCAATCCAAGCCAGGTCAAGCGAGCCAAGGGGGCTCCATTCCAAGAGCCTGGCCCTCTGGAAAGAACAGATCCCTCTCTCCTCTTGGAAGGGCGAGGGTGGGAGCGTGAGATGCAGGCGCCCCACGGGACAACAGCTGGTCTGGGGCGGAAGCCCACGCCGAGGACGGCGGAGAGGGCGGCGGCTTTCTAACGCCGTGGTTTGCGCAAACTCCCCTCCCAGGCTGGACGCTCCTTTACTTCTCCCCGTGGAGCTGAGGAGTCTTTCCTTCCTTTGGGAAAAACATGGAAAATGACAACTTTTGACTATTAACCACCATTCTCAAGAAAATCCCACCAAGACTCGTGCAACCCTTTGTTAAAGATGAAACTCCACATGACCGCTGCCAATGGGATGTGTAATATGCGCACAATTCCTACGAAGGAATCTTTGTCCAAAAACCGTGCCAGCTTGCTGGTTAACGCTGCTGCCAATCAAAGCTGCTTCTCCCTCGCTGGCTGCCAGCCTTTGCAGTCGCAGATGTCTCAAAAGAGCTTCTGGAAAGGCGAAGCCAATCCCCAGTTGAGAACAAAACCTTCTCTGTCTGCCTCCTCCTAAAAGGCTGGGCCGGTGGGCAGGGGTCTAGATCCATCCCAGATGTACAAGGAAAAACCTCATCTTACAAGCAAAGGGTTGAGCCACACAAGAGGTGAAACCAGTGTGGTAATATCTGACTGTTTCATCATCCTCTTATCGGCTGAGTACAGAGAAGCTGCAGAAAAACCCCTGACTGGGTTTCAGTGTCTCCTGGTGCCCTGAAATCTCCACTGCGTGGCTTATGTCAATTTAGAAATGAGCACCTCTCATTCTGCCCGAAACAGCAGAGAAAGCGGTTAGTTAACACTGTGCCTGGGTCGCAGGACAGGCTCAACAGAATGGTTCAGTCTCCAAAGAGGGCTCAGTGAGTGACAGACGGAAATGGCAACTCGGGTCTTAAAGGAAGAGGAGTCCGCTCCCTCCCGAAGTCCCTTCAGAGGTGTCTGTATGCAATCCCACTTTCAACTTCTGTCTCAGCTCTGGCCCGGGGCGGGGGGGCGGCGCGGGGATGTTGCAGCTGTGGGTGGGGTGGAAACACTCCTGAGCGCATCCTGCATTCGGTGTCACAGAAGACATCCGAGGGAAGGATGCGAAGGCTTGAGTTCTAGTGTCCCCAGCCGTGGTGTCAGCTAAAAAACGTCCCCACACCTTTCCAGTATGTGTGCCGCCAGAGCGAGCACTGTCCCCACACATTCTACACGCTTTTGCGGAGGTGAGGGGGCAGGGAGCTGCCACCGACCGAAACCTGCTGTGCCAAAGAAACGCAAGGTGTCCTGATTACGATCGTGAAGTGCTGAGATCAAAAAGTGAACCGAAAGTGAATCCTTTCAGGGGCTGAACAAAGCAGAGGCAAGGAGGCAAAGCCGGGAGGAAGCGTGGGGTAGATGACACCTCTCCACGCTCCGCCAGCCCACGCTGGCATCTGCGCCTCCCTGCTCACGGGGGAGGGTGGGGCTGGGGCCGGGGCCGGGCCGCCCTGCTTATGCCCAGTGACCAGGGCGGCTTTCTCAGCCCGCCAGAGTTTCAACCCTAGAAATCTGGAGTTTGCATTGAAGGGACTTAGTAGGGCGGCCAGGCAAACCCGGGAGCTGAGGGGTGCCCGATGTGGGCATGTGCAGAGAGGCAGCAAAAGCCAGGCCACAGAGAGAAGAGCGAAGACGACACGCAAAGGGGCAGCAGACGTGTGTGGCCCACAGACACACAGACCCAAGACCCGCAGAGGCAGAGCAGAGGCAGAGGCAGGGAGAGAGGCAGAGCAGAGAGGCAGGGAGAGAGGCTGGCTCAGGGCCCCAGGGGGAGCAAACTGGGGTCTGGTTCCGGCTCCAGGGCCCGGGGAGAGGTGCAAATGTGAGATGCTCCTGTCTCCTCAGACGAACTCTGCCCCTTTTCTTAAGCCGGGGTGAGTGCTCTGCCATCAAAAGAGCCTTGATGAAAACAGGGAGGGGACAAGAGAGAAAAGGAAGAGGAGAGAGGGTGCTGGCCCGCCCCAGCCTGGGCGATACCTGGGCGGATGCAGAGGACGTGGCAGCCCCGGGGGTCGGTGTGGGGCAGCACGGTGAGGAACCCGGAAGCGAGCACGTCTTTTAAGGCCGAGGGCTTCAGGTCATTGAAGACTTCGGGCCAGCTTCTCCTGCAGCTGTGGTAGTTGATCAGGAGCTGCAGGGCCCGGTCGTAGTCGAACTTGCGGGCTCGGAGGAAGCGCAGCAGGAAGGCGTCGTCCAGCGAGGTGCTCAGGTTCGGGCACTCCTTCCGCACCATGTCCCGGAGGGCCTGGACATCTCGAAGTCTCCATTCCGGCTTCTCCTGCAGCTCCTCCCTGGCCTTGGTGACCAGCTCTTCCGTCAGCGAGCACACATAGCCGGGAAGCTCGGGGGCGGGCGGCAGCTCATTTTCGGAAAGCGAGGCCGCAGAAGGGCTGGTTCTCAGAGAGTCGCTTTCTTCTGACATTAGCCACCAGGATCCCTGTCAAACAGAAGCCCCATGGGAAGTTAATAAAGTGCAGCACTGGCCACTGCAAACCCTGGGGCCGCTGATGCAGGGGGACGGGGACACTTTTGGTGAGCCAAGGAACCTCAGAGCAGTGGCTCCCAACTCGGGGGAGCGGGGAACTGGATCAGAACCACAGGCCCGGGTCGGACCCCAGACCGAAAGAAGTTAGACTCTCCCCCGAGGCGCCCAGGCACCCGCAGCAGGGCACTCGCAGCTCCTCATCGAACACCGATGCCCTGCGCACGATATGCGGGTGGGTGCCTGACCTCCCTCGCGGTTAAAGAAACGTGAATGAAGACAACTCTCATGTGCCTGCCGTTGGGAGAATAGATTGGATAGCCTCTTTAGATGGCAGTTTGTCAGTATCTACCAAAACTTAAAACCACATACCCTTTGCCTCAGCATTCCATCTCCAGAACATATACGCGTGGACAAAATATGCACGGAAGAATAACCGTCACAAGAATTGATTATAACAGCAAAAGACTGGAAGCACTTTAACTCCATACCAGTTGGAGACTGGTTAAATCACAGCACCATAGGCATGGAATGCTATTTGGAGTATTCCAAAGTATTCAGACGCCACGAAAGGAATCAGACAGAACTTTATAAATTGACATGTCAAAGGGAAAAAAGCAGGTTGCAGAGCAGTATACATAAAATAATCGTGCTTACATTTTAAAAATATATGTTTATACACTTGCAAATGCACCTAAAATTTCTGAAAGGAGATACAGAAAACTGTTGCCAAAGGTTCCCAGGGAACAGAACTGAAGAACTGGATATTTAAGGTGGGAGAGACTTTTTACTATTTTCTGTTTTGTTCTGTTTTTTACCATACGCAATGTGACCTATCACGGTGGCTGTGAAACTGAGCTCGCCAGGTCCCCTGCCGGTGCGAAGCACATCTGACGGAGGGCCCCAGCTCTGCCCCCTGAACCCACCGTCCAGCGGACGCCACTGTGCACAGATTCCCCCCCGCCAGCGGCTGAGACACTGATGCCTCCAGCAGGCAGCTCTGCCTCGGGGGCTCCCTGTCAGCCCGGCCAGCCAGCGACCCTCTGTGGACTGCGCTGCAGCCCGACACTTCCTGCCCACACCTCCTTCCCACGGGCCAGCTCCCCTCCCCTTGTGCTCCGTGGGTGCTGCCGCCGATAGATTTCTTGCATGTGTAATCTCATCCTAACATCTGCTTCTTAGACGACGGAGCCAGCACACTTACCGAATGAAAACAAACACGAAACAGCTGCCTTCCACAGCCCAGTCACAAACCAGCAGCAGGGCTGTCCCGTTCCAAAGCCCAAGCTCCTGGCCACGGGCTGCCACTGAATCACCACTCAGAGCTCAGCAAGGAAGGCAGGGACCACCTCAAGAGTCTCTGCACGTGGTCAGTCTCCCCCACAAGTCAACGGCACCGTTGTGACCAGGTCACTTCCCCTAAGCCTCAGGCCTGCCCACTCCACTCCCTGCATTCTCACCTCTAGTCCACCAGCAGCACACACAAGACCCGCAGGCCGAATCTGGCCCTCCACCTTGTTTTATCTGGCCCGGCACCTTGTTTCTACCCGGCGACAGCGCTGAACTCTTGCTTAACTGTGAAGGAGCAGTTACATTTACACAGTCCTAAAATTACATTCGGCCCTTTGAAGGCAACCGCGAGGCTGAGGGGGCCCCCCGGTGAAATTGAGTTCGACACCCCTCCTCTAGCCCTACCCAGCTTCTTGCACTTCCTCAAAGGTGTTTTCCTGTCTTGCACACCTCCTGTTTCCGCCAACCAACATGCTCTTCCTCCAGTTCATCACCTGACTCACCCTTACATTCTAATTAGATGCCACTTCAGTCACTCAACAAATATTGAGCACGTACTATGTACCAGGCCCACTTCCAGGCACTGGGGAGACAGCAGTGAATGAAAAGTCCCTCCTTCAATGAACTTAGATACTGGTGGCAGAAAGGAGGACTACATGCAAAATAAACGACATAGCCAACAACCAGATCAGTACTATGGGGAGAGAGGAAGCAGGGAAGGGGTCTGAATGTATCTGGGCACAGGAGTTGCAACTGTAACTGGGTGGTCAGAGCAGGCCTCGCCCAAGGGACAGTGGAGCAACGACAAAGGAGGCGAGAGCAAGCCATGCCGGTATTTAGGGGAGCAAGTGCAAAGCCTGAGGCAGGAACACACCGGCTTTTCGAGGAACAGTGAGAAGGCCAGTGTGACTAGGGCCAAGTGAATAAGGCGGAGAGTGTTGGCAGACACATTCAGAGAGGCACCTGTTGATACAGAGCTTTGGAGGCCAATAAGAAGTCTGACTTTCAAACTGGTGGGAGCCATGGGGGGTTCTGAGTGGAGTGATGTGACTGCATTTGTATTTTAAAAGGATTGCTCCGCTGCCTTGCGAATGGGATTTGAGAGGATGAGTAGAGAAGCGAAGAGGCCATTTAGAAGCTTCTCCGTAACCCAGGCGGGGATGACGTGCTTGCAGCAGGAGGCCTCCCCACTCCGGGCCAGGTGAGGAGCCTCCCCCACGGCAGCCCTTCCAACATGGCGCTTCTCCCACTCGGCTGCACTGTAGGCAGTTTGTGGGCAACATTCCCAGCCGTCTTGCTCATCACCTTAAACCCAGCACCTAGCAGGGTGCCAAGCCCATAGTCTGAGCTCTGTAAATGTTTGTTGAATGAATCTAATTTGCTTGGCAGAGGAATGCTGGGCAAGGGATGGAACAATCACAGATTCAGAGGATCCACCCTGGGCTCTGTTCCCATGGGAGTTACCAACAGATGCCCGTAACCCCAATTCAGTGTTCACCAAGGAGAAAGACTGCGATGTCCATGTCCTAGCCTCAAAGTCCTGCTCCCGCCTCTGTCCTCCTTTCCCCCCACTCGAAGCACACTAAATGCCAGTCACTCAAAACAAACTAATGACCCACCATTCTTGGGATACCTCATGCATTTACAATACCTCTGCCTGGAACTCCCTCTCCTTGTTTGTCCCAACCAGACAACTCATCACCTTCCACACCCAGCTCCACCGTCACCTCCTCTTTGAAGCCTTCCCTGATTCCCCCAGGGTGATTCCCTCCAGTTTTCCACAGCACCTATCTCTTTCAGAAATGGCAGTCCAGTGTTATGGGTATTTGCACGAAAACTCTTCAGAATCAGCTTCACCACCCATTCACTACCTAATAATTATTGATCACCTACCACATGCGTCAGGCACTACGCTCACAGGTGCTGGGCATACAACCGTGAACAATATAATTCTTTGCCTTAGAAATTTAACTCACAGTGGAATAATGAAGAGATAACACACACTTGATCATTTTATCATGCGTCAAGCACAATGATAAGCACCTTACATCTGTGTCTCATTTCACCTTCACATATTTGGTGACAGCTCTATTACTGTCCCCATGTACAAAGGAGGACAATGCCCACTAGAATGCAGATTCCATGAAGGCAGACAATGTGCCTGGCATGTTCACTGCCACCCCCGGCGCCTGGCACACGGCGGTGCTCAGCAACCACTAGCGGCCGATGTGAGGTTAAGCGACGCGCCCAGAGGTGCACAGCCAGGGAGGCAAAGGAGGATGTGTCTGGCCCCACACTGGCCCCTCTGCTCCAGCTGGAGCTCCCCGGTTATCTCCAGGGTCTCGGCAGCGTCGAGCACAGAGCAGGGCTCAGTCACAGCCTGTGAAGGAACTGATGGGTGGACACAGGGAGGGGTGCAAACACCGTGGCTTAGGGTGGAGCCGTGAATCTTCCTCACCTGGAGTCCATCATTCTGTGAGCATCACCTTCCTCCCCACGCCACCCAAACAAGGGGAGGACAGGATGTCATCGCTCCTGGAGCCCCAGAGACTCTACTCCCGTCCGCAGTCTTTGGAGGCCCCCCACTTCCGGATGACACCCCTTCCCCAGGTGTCCCCATTTCCTGGGGTCTCTCTCCTTGGGTCGCCCACTTCCGGTTATCCCTCCCTCTCAGGGGTCCCTCTCCCCGGTCCCCAAGGCACACGGACAGACTCGCGGGCACTCACCGGCCCGGCAACGGGGCGGAGCGCGGGTCAATCGGCGGCTGGAACCTCGTCCGGCAGCGCACGCAGAACCGACCCGCACTCCCGGCCCGGCCGGCCGGGCCCTCGCGCCGGAAGTGACGTGACAGGGCGTGTAAAGGCGGGCGCCTCTGTGAGTGCGCATGTGTAACATCTCGCCGCGGCGTCGGTCTTTTGTCGCCACCTGGCGGCCGAAACCCCGCGCAGTGGGACAGGAGCCTGGGAAGGGGCTGGCTGGGAGGAACAGGGAGTGCCGCCAGGTTTAGGTGGTACAGCTGGGGAAACTGAGGCCCAGAGAAGGAAGGAAAAACGCTGCCATTTTCCGAGAACGCAACTCCACGAGCCTGTTTTACATTTTTTTTGTCTCATTAAATCCTCATATTCATGGAAACTTGCGTGAAAGGGAATCAGGCAATCAATGAAGTATAGGGCTTTAACCCTAGATTTTGGTGTTAGCATTCCAGGATTCTTCTCTGCTTTGGGGTTCGTCAAGTCCCCTTCCAGAAAGTGGTGGCTTGAGAAAAAGGATTTACTATCCCCCAATCCCAGTCCATTACAATCCCCAGACTCACCGACATATATTTTGTGCAAATACGACTTTGAGAGAAATCGAGGTCCATCTTTCAGTCAGCGAAAAGACTAAACCATTTGTAGAAAGAGAAATTATGTCCAGGAGGACTCAGAACCCAAAAGAGTATGCAAGAGATGACAGTCTTCCCCACTCCAGGGACAAGAGGTCCCAGGGAGATGGGGAATGACCCAAGAGGGACACAAGAACATGACAGTCGTTTCTGTGAGTTGCTAGGTTGTGTGAATATCAGTAATTACAGAATCTTTTAATTTTATCTCCTGAACAGGAGAAAGGAGCTGCAGATGTAATATAGAAAAAGTTAATTTAAAGCGTCATAATGCTGTATTTGCATTGGAAATATCAGTATGAATTCAAGAGACAGTTTATTTTTGAAAAGAAGTAAATATGTATGTATACACACATACATATGTATATCAATATAGCATATATAAAATACCTAGTTCTATCCGCTAGAAAGGCCCAGAAACAATGACTACTCAGATTTTAGTCTTGAAATGCCATTTTCTATTTTTTAAAAATAAAGGGACCTTTTAGAGAAATTGTTGATTACAGATCAGTAGCAGGAAATACACAGGATGAGTCTAGACTGTCTTGTCATACTTGGTAACAAAGAAGCTATCAAAGGCACTAGAGCTACATCAAAAGAATTTAGAAACCAACCTGAAAATGAGATAATTTTGAGATAATGAGATAATAGCTGCAACGAAGACAATTACAATGGACTGAAATGCATCAAATATATTTCAATCCCCGAGTTCATAAAACCAGCAAAAAAGAGTTCATATTCAGCAAAAACGCTAATTGATCACTTTCTGAGAATGGCATGGAAACAAATTATATTGTTGATAGCCAGATAAATTAAGGGAAAGTATGAAATATTTATCCCACCTTTTATATATGAATCGTACCACTGGGTAAATGAATAATAGATTAAGAAAAGCAACTTCTTATAAAATTGTTACACCTAATAAATGAAACCACAATGGTACAATATTGCCATTTTGCAATCCATAATAAATTCATGTCTCTAGCCAAAAAAAAGGAAAAAAGAAAGAAAAAAAGAAGCTAAACTCCAGCCATGTACAAGACTCTTGATAAAAGGACCAGAACCACCTGTGAACATGCCAAAGGGATGAACCTGGGTCTGATCCCGCTGCTAATTTGCAAGAAATGCAGAGGTCAAAGGGCCAAGTTGAACTGTATGATGAGGATACAATTGACAAAATCCAGACTTTGAGAAACTCAAGCAGTCTGAGTTCTTCAACAGATAAAGTGCAAGGAAAAGGAAGAGATGGAGAAACCTATGCATTAAGAAAGGCTTAAAAGACATATTAAGTTTTTTTTAAATGGGCAAAACTAAGCTATAATGTCTAGGGGCACACAGTCAGATGATTAAACCATAAAGAAATGCAAGGAAATAATTACTATAAAAATCAAGGTAGTGGCTATTTTGGGGGGAAGGGCTGTGATTGGGATAAGGTGCATGGCAGGGGGGACTCCTGAGGGGCTGGCAAAATTCTATTTCTTGACCTGGGTGGTGCTTACAAGAGTGTTTGTCTTGAAATGATTCACTGAGCTACGGATTTAATTTGTATGTTTGTTTTAGAATATATGTGTCTTAACACATATATGATTCACTGAGCTACAGATTTAATTTGTATGTTTGTTTTACAATATATGTGTCTTAACACATATATGATTCACTGAGCTACAGATTTAATTTGTATGTTTGTTTTACAATATATGTGTCTTAACAAATGAAAACAGAAGTACTTCACTGTGTGTGTGTCTACACATATATGTACATGGATACATAGCTTCTGGGAGTACCAAATACATAGCAGGTGCCCACTAAATATGAGTTTCCTTCCTGTTAACCCTGGTGATTTCAGACCCATTACTAACCTGACTAGCTTGTGCAACTAAGTAGTTGATTCTCATTAAGTGGTTAATTATTATGTGCCAGGCACTGTTCCCAGTACACTTAATCTAACTGAATCTTCACAACCTTATTATTTTTATTCCCATTTTTCCGGAGAAGGAAACGGAGGCTTCCAGGGGTCATCTGTGGCCCCACGGAAAGTGGAAGAGCAGCCAAGTTTTGAACCCAGGCAGTCTGGCTTCCTGATTGCCTCATACGCATGTGTGTATACCTTACTGTTTGTTTGTTTGTTTGTGAGAAAAAAACTACTGATCTGTTGTTCCAGTGATTTATGCATTCATTGGTTAATTCTTGTATGTGCCCTGACAGGGGGTTGAACCTGCAACCCGAACAGGGACTTTTTTTTTAATCTATTTGCACAAATAATAAGTCCCCCTTATCGAGTGCCTGCCCATGTGCGTGCCACCCCTTGACGCGCCATACCCGAGTCTCACACAGCCTGGAAGGTGGAGGTCCTTGTTAGTCTGCGTTTGGCAGACGGGAAAACTTGAACTCAGAGAGCTGAAGAACTTGCCCGAAGTTACAAAGTAAGTTCTCGGCAGACTTGGGGGCGGGAGGGTTGAGTTACAGAGGGAGAGGACTCCTACTCTTTTGCCCTTGGGACTCTGAGGAACGAGATGTTCTATACTCTTAAACAGATGCTCACCGGATGGGTCTGACCCAGGCTGAGGTCACCGGATGCCCAATCAGTGGTCCGGAGCCTGACTTGGCTTGAGAAGTGCCTGGACGAGGCTGGGAGGAGTCGAGAGCTTGGCAAGTGCCAGGCGTGCCTGACCCCAGCCGGAGGGTCGTGTGAAGCTTGTGCTCCAAGGGCTGGGTGTGCCTCGAGGAGCCAGGGACTTCCGGGCACCGGGCTCTGGTTCACAGGCCTTGAAATCAGGACCTACCATAGGGCTGTGCACCTTTCCACACGTGAGACATGGTTTCTCCAGGGGCTGGGGGCTGGATTTCCCAGAAGAGGTGGGAGGCCACATGGGTTTTTCTGCTCACACATGGATTTTGTAACCTGAGTCAGCATGGCCACTTGGAGGTGCAGTCCATTCTCTGTTCCCGGGGGCTCTGCGTCCCAGCTAGGCTGAAGCATTTCCAAACCAGGGCCAGGAATGGTAGGGGTGGAGGAGAGGTGGAGACGCCACACCCCCTGCCCCACAAGCACCAGCCTAAGAGCCCACTCAGCCCACCCTCCACTGTACTATTAACGCCCAGCAGGATCCACTTCTTAGTAAAAGCTGGCACCGTGCGAATCACGTTACATGTGTTCGCCCAGCCACCTCGCAGACAGGCTACCGAGTTTCTCAGGCTACAGGGTTTCTCACGCGAGAGATGAGAGAACGGAGACCCGGAGAGGCACAAATCACTTGTGAACAGCCACACACGAGGGGTTTCAGGCCCGTGATTGTGAGTCACAGGCTGTCAGACCCGGCACTGCTCTGTAGGTGCCCTGTGCCACGGCTGCCTGGTCGGGTGGTGTGGTCACCTCCACGAGGGTGTGAGAACACTGAGGCCCGGGGAGGTGGGCGTGACTTGTGAGATGTCGCTCAGAGGTCCTGCTGTGACAACCAGTGACTGCTTCTCGAAAGCACCGTGAAAGCCCACAACTAAAATTTGGCCAAGGCCCTGGCCGGGTAGCTCAGGTGATTACAGCGCCGTTCTGATACGCCAAGTTTGCAGGTTCAATCCCTGGTCAGGGCACGTACAAAAATCAACCAATGAATGCACAAGTAAGTGGAACAACAAACAGTGTTTCTCTCTTTCTCTCTCTTCCTTCCTCCTTCCCTCTACCTCCTCTCTCTCTGAAATCAATAAAAAATTTTTTTTGGCCCAAAACCCTTTCTGTGTTATTACTCCTACGTTCACCCATGGCTCTCCTGAGATGGAAAGAAGGGGCAAGGGATCCTTTGGTGGCCTTCTTCTTGGAAGGGTGGAGTGGGGGTCATGGGGGCTCCTCTGTGGGGGGATGACTATTTGGAGAGCTTCACACATGACCCCGACGTGAGGGCCCAGCGGCGTGCTGTGGGCAGGGACGTCTAGGGGCTGGGAGAAAGGGGGTGCTCAGCTGCGCTGGAGAAGGAGCCAGAGAGTGGGCGTGCTGAGGTGGGCCCGCACTCCCAGGCGCTCCGGGGCAAGGCTGCGGGAGTGTTTCCCACGGACCAGTGTGGGCAGGAAGCAGCTACAAGGAGTCAACTTGGGCCCTGTCCCATAGGGTCTCCTAGACTGGCAGAAGGGTGGCAGCAGCAAGAAGCTACAGTCCGATGTCAGATTCCCAAAGGCTGAAGAAGAAATCGCAAGGGATGGCCAGGAGGAGGGGCGCAGCCATCAAGATCAAAGGTGAGAAACCCTTGGAGCAAGGACCATCTCTGAGAGCCCCTAACAGCACCCCAACAGAAAGGGGCGGCCTCAGCTGTGTGCTGAGCACAGAGCACTGGAGGCCACG